TAAAATGATATTAATGTTATATTCTGAAATTATATTTTTGGTTATTTAATATTAATTTTTTTATAAAAATTACAATAATAATTGAATTAATTTTAAATTTATATTTGATAAAAATTACAATAATAATTTATTTAATTTTATATTTTTATAAAATAAATAAAAGTGTTAAATAATAATAAGTTTATTTATTTAATTTGAGATATTAATCTTTATTAAAATTTATACATAATTATTTATTTAAAAATATGTTATTAATATTAAGAAACATTATTAAATAATATTATGTAGATATATATATATATATATATATATATATAATATATTTAATAGAAATTACTAATACTAAAAATTTATAAGTTGCAATGATATTCATAAAATTAAAAATTACATGAAGAAAATTTTAAAGTAATAACAACAACATAAATCAATGGCGGGAAGTAGAAGCTTGAGCAATATTTGGACATGTCTTCCTTGTGTAAACAGGGGTGTGATAATAAGAACAATTTTTTGGCCAACTTTGTTGTTCTCTAATGTCCATCTTTGTTCTTATCCTACTAGACTTGGTCAACCCTTTGAAGTTCTTTTCAATTCTGGATTTGGACACAAAGTTGAGCCAGTGTAAGTTGGCCAATAGTCTTCATGTCTGAGTTTTCCAAACTGACCTTTGTATACATTAGAAACTTGTTGTAAAGTATACACGGAAGATATGTAAATGTCAAAGTTGTGATGTGTTTATAAGCATGAAGCAAGTACATGCGAGCATGGGATGTGAACTTTTTGAAACTTGCCGCAATCACATCACATTTCACCTATTGCGTTGGGTTTAATCGTTAAATAAAAGAAGATTGAATTAATGACTAAATTAAAGTGGTGGTTGAAAAACTATTTATTAAATTTTGAAATTAGAGATCAGAATTTTCAATCACAGAATTGGTCACTAAAAATTGATGATTTATTGGTCATTAATTTGATTGCTAAAGTGTGACTGCGCAAAGTCGACTAATTTAATTGCTAATTTGCAATGGTGTATTAGTAGCTAATTTAGTTGCTAAATTGTAACCAAACAAAGTCAATTGCTAATTCGCAATTGTTGTGTTAGGTGCTAATGTGATGAGACCTCACATTATCAATTAATGAATATTTCTGGGCATTGGAAAAAGCAATACCTTTCCTTGTCGATTGTGTTGGCACATCCATCAAGGTTGGGGTTGGGACCAAATTCCATTCCTAGCATTCATTTTCATCACTCTCAAGTCCTCCATTTGTTTCCACTCCTCTCAACCCCAATAATTCAGAAACCTAACTCTCATCTCATTCACCTTTCCCTTTCATGTCAAGCCTAAACTGTTGTACTCAGAGGCACCAGAAACTATCAACATCACAATTGTTCAGAATTTTTTAAATAAAAAAAGAGAGTATTTTAGACAATTACTTAAAAAGAAGTAACAATAAATATATAAAACTGATAATAGACGCACTTAATCTTAAACACTAAATCCTGTGCTATATTGAAATAATAGGTGACATAGAGGCAAAAGAAATGACAATGTAAAAAAAATAAATTAAAAATGTATGGTATTTAAATGAGTTAAAATACTTTTTTTATTTATTTAGATGAATAATTTTTTTAAAAAATAATTAAATTATATTAAAAATAGTCACAACAATTTAATATAAATTTATTTTTAATTTTTAATATTTTCAAAATGATATAAATAATATCATAGAAAATTTTAAAAATTAAAAAAAAACAATTTATGTGATGTTGGCGTTCTATACTCTTTTATATGAAATTATTATTATTATTAATTTTATATTAATAGAAAATAAAAATAATAATTTATTTAAAATATAAAATATTTTTTAATTATAATGGCTGATTTAAAAAATATTTACTGTACTATCAAATTTACCGACCGGTTTGTTTATTGTACCTTTGAATGCGGCGAAGCAGAGTCACGTGCTTGGTTATCGTACGATTACCATGACCGAAGAATAAATATAATTATTTTATATTTTTAGAAGTAAGTTCAAAGACAAAAATTAAAAGTTAAAAATATAATTTTAAAAATAAAGATATTTACAATTTAAAAATATTTAATATAAATTTTTATAATAATTTAAAATATTTAGTATAATATATTTAATATTTGTTAACATATATTTTGAGATTTATGTTAAAAAAATATTATTTTATTTATACATATACAAGTCTTCTATTTCGCTAGGTTGATTAGAAAATCATTTTAAAATGTGAAGTTTCTTTTAAAGGTCGGGGTTCACAGGAGCGTATAAATTACAAATACTCTTGCTAATAATTTAATATAAAACATATTGTCATCGACTTAACTGTTGAAATGTTATATATTATTTTGATTATTTATCTTAATTTTGTTAAGTTAAATAACTATAAAAATTTGATAAAATTCATTATTTTTATATATTCTTAAAATATATATCGTATTAATTTTAATATATAAATAAAATTAAAATTAATTTTAAATTAAATTAAAATTTTATAATTATAATTTGTAAATAATTATTTTTAAGATTAAATTATTCAATAAAAAATATTAAACAATAAGTACCTATTCAAATAATTTATTTCAAAGTTATTCATTCAACAATAAATAAAAAAAGACACATGAAATAATTTATCATATGAAGATGTACTGTAATATAAAAAATTATTTAAATTCTTACACGAAACTTTTTTTTTTTGTTTTTATATAAAAAATTTGGTAAACAAGTTTACAAATGAAAAATATATTTTTAAAATAATTCTATTGTTAGCATGCATACGTTATCTCATATTTAATTTTTTGTATTTTTATATATAACATTTTTATATTATAATCATTATACATAACATATTTTTCATTTTAGTCATGAAAAAAATTATAAAAATCAAAATAAAAGAATTTGTTCCATATCGAGATAACAATGAAAAATATATCATGTTTATAGATTAAAATAAAAAATGTTATATATATTGGAAAAATAAAACTATTCATTAAAATAAATTGAAAGAAGTTATAGTAATTTATAATAGGTTATAAAAAGTAATTTAGTAACTTTAAATAATATAATTATAGATTAATGTGATTGTAGAAATTGTTATGAAAAGTTAGTGTTGGAAGTTTAGTAAAAAAATATTTTAGTGCTATAACTTTGGTATTTTTTAGAAATTATTTAAAATTTGTTTGATGATAAAATTTATATGACATATTTTAAATGATTTTTCTGTTTTTTGTAAATTAAAATTAAAGACCAATTCTTATAGGACTATTTTTAAGTTTTGTTAATAAGATAAATAATTTATAGTAATCATGCTTAGAAACATAAGTAAATTTAGTTACACACTTTAGCTGACGAAAGAACAAAACTAAAAAGGAGCCAAATACTGCTTTCTTAGATAAAAACAAAAAGAGAATAGTTTTAGTATTTGAAAATCAATCCACGTTATATTTTTGAAATTTTTCATGAAGAATAAAAGTAAAATACTTGTAACCTAAATTTCAAAATCATCTTTTTAGAATAATCTTTGTATTCACATTATAGAAATTATCAAACTATATTTTATAATTTATCATGAATTACCATATATTTTTAACTTGTGATATGTGGGGAAATTTATTTCAACTTCAATTCTATTTTTTAAAATTTTGATCACTTTATGGAATATATATTTTTTTATTTTAATTCATATAATTGTTTTTTTTTTATATAAGGACTGGAATAATTATATATAAAGAATACAATGAAAAAATATATTATGTATAAAGATTAAAATAAACAATATTTAAATATGATAGTATAGCTTTTATAATCGAAATTAACATCATGGACTATTTTAAAAATTTTATTTTTGGATTATATACAAACTTTTTTTTATAAAGGTTAAATAAAAAATATTTATTATATAGAGATTCAAATAATATTTAAATCTAGAAAATATTAATATAGATTTTAAGATAAGTAGTTAATAATAGTAAGATTTTGTAAAATGAAACTTATTTATTAAATTTAATCCAATGAATAAATATGTTCTTTTTCGATAAAAAAAAAAAAAAAAACTTTTTACTTATAAATGCTTAAACTTTAAATACAAGATTAACAGAATTAATAACAAAATATTAGTAAAAAAAGGTGAAGTTAATTCTTTTAATAATTTCTTCCAAAATTCTTATGTATTTGTCTCTACTCTTTATTATTTTTACTAAAAGTTATGTTATTAATTTTTTTTGTTAATAGTCTTTTTCACACATTTCTAAATCAATTTAACTCATTTTTTAACAGGTGTCATTCCATATATAATTTTTTTATATGACACTTGTTTATCATAGTATCCTCATTTTTATAGTTTTTTTTTTCATGTTGTCCACTAAAACACATCAATGAGTATCACAGAGAATAGTTATTTATTAATTATATAACACTACAATATATTCATTACTTTTTATAACATTTTACAAAATTATAAACACGTCGAAAAAAGAAAATATTACTGATCAATATTTTTCAAGTACTAATTAAAAAATAAAAAATTAATAAATATAATGACAAGTTAGATATGCTTAAACACAATGTTAAGTGGTTAACCCTTAAATTTCTCGTGTTATCATAAAAAATTTCAATAGCTCGATTATATAAAATTTAAACAAACTATTTAATTATTATGTTACAACTAAGAAATTTTTAAATATATAAAACTTAAGAACAATTTTTAAAATATTTTTCATGCCTGTAATTTAAAAATAAAATTTTATTTCAGTAACTTAAAAAAAATCAACCTATATTATATCAATTAATAAAATAAATTTATAATTCTAATTAAGAAATAATAGAAAAAAATACGTAAACAGTTATGCCTAATTTTGTCGATTCTGTAATTCTGTGACCAATAACCATCAAACTTTAATATCTCTCACCACATAAATACTCCACGTTATCTACAAAAGCAATATTCCAAGGTATTGATAGTTACCAAATTCAGTACGAAAGTGGATTCTAGCTACCCAAGTTCCCCAATGGCTTCCAATTACCAAAGCAATAGCGGCAACAACCTTCACCAAACCAAAGTAGTGGTGGTTTTGATACCTTTCCCTGCACAAGGCCATCTCAACCAGCTTTTACACCTCTCACAGCAAATCTTGTCACATAACATCCCTGTTCATTATGTTGGCACAACCACACACATTCATCAAGCAACAACTCGTGTCCAAGGTTGGGACCAGAACTCCATTTCTAACATTCATTTTCATCACTTTGAAGTTCCTCCATTTGTTTCACCTCCTCCCAACCCCAATAATTCAGAAACCAAATTCCCATCTCATCTTATCCCTTCCTTTGAGGCTTCTTCACACCTTCGTGAACCTATAGCAACACTTCTTCATTCCCTTTCATGTGAAGCCAAAAGGGTCATAGTTATCCATGACTCACTAATGGCTTCAGTGGCACAAGATGCTACCAACATGGCAAATGTTGAGAATTACACTTTTCATAGCACCTGTGCCTTCACCAACTTTTTATCCTTTTGGGATGAAATGGGAAGGCCTTCTTTAGAAAACTCACACATCCCAGATTTTCCTTCTCTTGAAGGATGCTTCACAACCCAATTCATAGACTTCATTACTTCACAATGTGAATTCTGGAAATTCAATGATGGCAACATCTATAACACAAGTAGGGAAATTGAAGGTGCTTACATAGAGTTTATAGAACATATCAGTGGTAGCAAGAAGCTTTGGTCACTAGGGCCATTCAACGCTCTATCCATTGAGAGGAAAAATTCAAAGGGAAGGCACGTAACCGTCGAGTGGCTCGATAAACAAGAGCCAAGTTCAGTTATATATGTGTCTTTTGGAACAACCACCACCTTTACAAAGGAACAAATCCAACAGATTGCAATTGGATTAGAACAAAGCAAGCAAAAGTTCATATGGGTGCTAAGAGATGCTGATAAAGGAGACATCTTTGATGGAAATGAAGTGAAAAGGCATGAGCTTTCAAATGGGTCTGAAGAGAGTGTCGAAGAGATGGGGTTAGTTGTGAGAGACTGGGCACCCCAATTGGAAATTCTGAGCCACCCTTCCATAGGAGGGTTTATGAGTCACTGTGGATGGAACTCTTGCATTGAGAGCATAACCATGGGAGTGCCAATAGCAGCATGGCCAATGCACTCAGACCAACCAAGAAACAGTGTTTTGATCACAGAAGTGCTCAAAGTTGGTTTGATTGTGAAGGAGTGGGCTAAGAGAGACGAGTTGGTGACTGCATCTGTTATTGAGAAAGCTGTGAGAAGGTTGATGGAAACAAAGGAAGGTAAAGACATGAAAGAAAGAGCAATGAAGCTTAAAAATGCCATCCGTAAGTCCATGGATGAAGGTGGAGTTTCTCGCATGGAAATGACTTCTTTCATTGCTCATATCACTAGATAGCTCTACCAAATGATTTTCCATTGTGTTTGGCAAGAAAGCATGCACATCTTTCTATTTCTTGAGACACTGTCTGGTAAAATTGCTGAGATGCATATATATGTCAAGCCTTCTTGCAAAAATAAAAGTTCTTTATTTAGAAATTTCAGAACTATTTTTTCTTTGATATCACTGTTTTGACATGCAAATTAATTATGAAATGCATAAAAGCAAGATTGCTAAGATACAACATTAACCGCAAAATGAAACATGCTAGCAACCCATTTAGTTAAGTACAACTTCATTCAAAAGCAAAGAAGTTTAGTACAACAAAAGTCTTTATCTATTGAATTTGTACTGGACAAGTGAGGTAATGGAAATTGTGGTTCAAAGCACGAAGAATTCCATGTCTGGTAGAGACACGAGAAGAGCCCTATAGAAAAGTCACAGACGCAGTCTTATGTTTTAAGTGTGGGCTCAAAGATGCACAAGAAACATGAGCCTTATTTGTATATTTCATTTCTATCACGCGTGAAAGGTACTCACTGTTTAAGTATTCTGCAGAGCTCAGATAACTTTTAAAAAATATATAATTATTTTTTAAATATAATTTTTAGTAGTCATATAATCACTTTTGTCAGAAATTAAATTCTGAAAATAATTTATAAATGGCTTTAAAGTTTAATTTTCAAAAGATATTAAACATACTTGTAAATATTAAATTCAAAAATAATAAGAAAATATAAAGATAATAAAAAATATAGTACAAAAACTAATCTCCCTATGTCAATAACATTTATCATGTACAGAGCCGGCAAAATGGATTATTCATTCAGTTGGGTGAATCTAAACTCACTTAGTAAAGTATAAAATTTAAACTTTGAATTTTGAGCCTAAATTTAATCTGAAGCAAAAAATAAAATAAAATAAAATAAAATTGAACTTTGCAAAATTTAAACAGCACTTAGAGAGACTTAGTTGAAACAGGCAATTTTTGGCTCAACTGACTAGAGTTGGCGGATAAAAAGGAAACCCAAATGGATAGCTTATTTTAACATAGACGAACATCGGGTTTTTTACTTAAATATTATAACTTTAAAAACAAATTATTAAAATAGGATTTTTGCAAAATATTTTCTGTGTCTAAAGTAATTTTTGTTACTCATCACGAGTATTGATATTATAAGAGCTGATACTTATTTTAATAATAAAAAAGAAAGTATCATTTAAACACAGATCAACACTTATCTTTATATTATTAAAAAAATAATCAAATATACTACAGGTTGGGGGCTCTGTTATCTTTCTTTTTGTGTGGAACGATGCTGGTGAGAAAAGAGAATGCGTCAAGGCAGTGAATAACGACAACACAATTGCATTTTGGCTTTTCCTTTCATCCATGAGATGAGCCCAATACATTAGACCGATAGATAAGAGAACTAGGCTGCCCTAAAGTTTAGGCGCTCTACGTACTATGTAAACTTTATTAGATACATATCGAATCCGGTCGCTTGCAGTTTTCGTCCGGATTGCCTGTAGTTCTTGCTAGCTACAATTTTTCATTTGTTTAAGTAAATTTTGGTAAAAAATAATTTTGACTTAAGTTAAAATAAATTTGTTTAAGCTAATTTTTGCTTAAACCAGAAAATTTTACTTAAATAAATTTAGTAAGAGTAGCAAAAATATTAGAAAAAGAAGAAAGAAAGTGAAACTGAAAGAAAGATCAAGAATAGGAGCAAAAGCACAAGTAAGCAGAAGAAGACTAATAGAGAGAAAAAAAAAAGGAGCTAGATGAGGAGAAGGAAATGAATAGGGGTGAAGGGGAGAGGAGGGAAAGAGAACTAGACGAGGAGAGAGAGGAGGAAGAAGATTGAGTGGAGTTGAAAGAAGAAGAGATGGAGAAGGAAAGGAAAGAAAGAGACTAGCGAGGAAAGAAGATGGTGGCTAGATTAGAAGGAAAGGAGAAAAGAAGAAATCAAAGTAATGGAGAGAAGGAAGCATTTTCTTCTTCCTGCATATTTTTGCTTAAACGAATATGATTTGCTTAAACAAAAATATGTAAAAAGAAGATGTTATAGTGTATTTTTACTTTTACTTAAGCAAATTTTTTTAACTTAAGTAAAAATTAGTTTAAATAAATTTGTTTTAACTTAAACTAAAATCACTTTTTATTAAAATTCACTTAAGTGAATAAAAAATTATAGTATGCAGTTTCCGCCAGAATTGCAGGCAATCCGAATCCGATATATATCAATTTCTTTTGCACATATCAAGAATAGTAACGAAAGGGGTAGAATATAATTTTGGAATTTGAGAAAGGCATCAAATGAGACTGTAGAGAGCATAAAGCTATAACCAAAAAACTTACAAAGGAGAAACAATTTTCGACAAAGTGATAATTAAAATATCAAAGTTGTCTCTGATTATTTTTTTAATAATATAAAAATACGTGTCGATCTTTGTTCGAATGACATTTATTTTTTTATTATTAAAATAATAAGTGGGGTTCTTATAATGCCAACACCGATAGTGACGTAGCAAGAATTACTTTAGACAGAGGAACACGTTTTACAAAAATATTATTTTAGTATTTTTTTTAATTTATAATATTTAGGCAAAAAAACCCACAAACATCACATGTCCTTTAGTTTTATAGTTTTATGTATTATCAATTAGATATTATTTATATTCAACATTAAATATAATTAATATTATTTTTAATTAATTAATTAATTAATTAATAATCTTAAGAAATATTTACAGTTAGTTTTATCAAAAATATTTGAATAATATTTTTTAATTTAAAAAATTCAAACAAATTTATAATTTTAATTGAAAGATTACTTTTTAAATTTAATAATTGTTTAACAAATTTTTAATAATATATAGATATTTTTAAAAGGTTTAGTTATTGTGTTTTATTAAGTAAGATAACAAACATATATAATTTGAAAATGTAAAATTATTTTATTTTTTGGAGAAAAGAATTAGGTAGGTGCAAGATTTTATGTTATATAAGGTGCTCATATGTAACATATAAATATGTAATTTGTATCTTAGTTATTTTAAATTTATTTGTCTTAACTCTTTGTGTCGTGATTATTTTCATTTTTAATTGTCTTAACTATGTTAATATTTTAACTTTAGACATTTAACGTGATATTATTTTCAGATAGCTTGTGTATAAAAAATTGTCAATTGTTATAATAAATCAATTGCTTTAATGATGTAAATTTTAAATATACAAATAATTTGATTTTTAAAGAAAAATAATGATTAAGAGGACGAAAAAAAATCTTATCTTATATCATAGTATTCAATTATTAATTATTATATAACGTATACATACTAATATATAAATATAAAGTCTATCAATATTGACTTGATTTCAAATAACCTTAATTAAGTTCCTTAACACCTTAATTCTCACTATGTTGATTATCTTGATTCAAATTTTTTTAATTATCTTATTCACATTAATATTTAGAATTTTAATATACAAAAAACAATAACATCGTTTAATAACTACTGATATATACTAGTGTTTAATTTTTAAATATCCACTTTGTATTGTAAAAAATTGTAATACACTATTAATTTGACTTTATATTAGTTATTACAAAAATAAACTATTCTTACTCATATGACAACTCATAATTAAATGATAATATAAAAATTATTATTCTATTAATATATTTAAATTAAATTAAATTTATATTTACTGAGCAATAATTTTATTTTATTTCATATTAGATTAGATTGCCTTGGTTAATAATTACATTAATGTTTTAATTACATTAATTTCTATCATATGCTGTGATAATATGAATAAGGATGTAAAAATGTGAGGTCATTGAATATGTGGTTATATTTAAGAAAAAGTCTATAAAATGACTTATTTAAGACTTATAAAATTTGCATAAATTAATAAATAAAAATAAAAATTTAAAATAAAAATATTATATTAGTTATTAATTTATATGTAATATATAATTAAAAATTTTAATTTATTGTATAGTTAATATATTTTTTTAATGTTAAATTAATCAGTTTTTACAATAACTATTAATTAGTTTTTTTTTTATTATCTCATCCACTCTCTTCAAATCTACTATTAACCATTTTCGATCTTTTTAATTTAAAATTAAAATTTTAAAATTAAAATTAATTTTATCCATTATCTTAACTTCAAATTTAATCATTAATTTTATTTTATTTTTTTAACTTTGTTTTATTATTTAAACAGGAACTCAAATAAAATTGGTTATTCACATATTTTATTTTATTTTCTAAAACACCAATAATCATGAAATAATATATTCAACTCCCAATGTTTAAGTATATTGTGTTTCTTTAATCTTTGAATTATATAATAAAAACTACTTTTTTGTTATAAAAGAGCATGAAAATCTAAAGTTTTAAGAATAAGAAAGAAGATACAAGAGAAAATGAAACTAAATTTGTGTGTGTTTGTTTCTTATTTCTTCTTATTTACTTTTAACAAATTCAAAACTAAAATTTAAAAAATAATTAAAATTCTAAAAATTTAAATCTAATAATAAATAATTTTAAGGCTCGTTTGGCATATAAAATTAAAATTACAAATTCTAATTCTAATTTTAATTCCATCAAAATTAAATTAGTTTAGAATTATAATTATACGTTTGACTTACTTAAAAAATTAAAATGTATAATTAGAACTATAAGTTAAAATTAAATTTTATAGTATTATATAATATTTAAATATAAAAAATTCAAATTATACCAAATTTGAAAAAATACTATACTTTAAAAAAAGAACTATCCTAAATGAAAATAACCTAATTTTTAAAATAAATTTATAACTTTGATCCATTATTTTAGCCTAAATTTTGAGTCCATTTATTTTCATGAATTAAAAATGAATTAAATTTATGAAGGTTAACTTTTAAATGTTATTAGAATGAGTCCAATTGAATATTTTCTAAATATTTATTAAAAATTGCAATTATCTCTTTTTTTTAAAATTTAGGCTAAATTTTAACTTTAAATATTTAAATTTAACTTTTAATTTATTGACGAGAGTTTTAAGCTCGTCTCTTACTTTTTTTTTTTACAAAACAAAAATCATATTAAAAGATATTAAATAATATTAAAACATATAAACTACTAAAATAATTAAAATAAGGTACAATAAAT